TGCAGGTACGTGCTTGGACGTAGCACTTACCCGTAATGAAGTTAGACCTAAAGACGCAAATATCACCGGTTCTTCAAGTCGTTTTTGTTAATTTGCGCCAGCCAAACATGCCGGTGCTTTTCGAAAAATCGCAATGTGCGTTCTCAATTTTACGTAATAACTTTCGGCAAAGAGAACACCCCGATGCTCTACTCACTGTTCGTGGACTGCTATATCAACTTGCCTCACCAGCAGCTGATAATTGCTCAAACTTGCATCGTGAGGCAAAACTGAACGGGCGCATGCACGAGCAAACAACACGGCAGCGGTCAGCCACGGAGTCAGTAGGTACCCGGGCATGTCGGTGGCGCATTTCGGAAGTGACGAATCGGCGCTGCGAGACGCATGTGCACACTATATACATCACAAGAAGGACGCCAATGTAAAAAATAGTAGTAGCAAAGAGGAATGAAACATATCACCAATAACGACAGAGAAATTAAAAGCCTTGTAGGAGGAGGAAGGAAGGAACCAGACGTCCAGTTTGACCTGCACTGAGGAAGGAATGAGGGAACTAAAAAAAAGAAAGAAAGGTTGCTGTAAAACCTGAAGAGTTGCAAAGCCCAGTCACGCAGCGATTCCCGTTCAAGTAGTTCTCACTCTTTTGATTGCCGCACCGACGACGACGTTAATCTTTGGGGTAGGCACGCAAGCTTTTCGTGAGAGGAGTAGAATATTTTCTTGTTAAGAAACATTCATAGAAGTATGAATGTTGACAAAAGTATCAAAACGTACAGACATAATTTATGGGCATTTTTTTTTAACTTTGTATCGAGCGAGATGCGAGACTAAGCTGCCTCCATTTAGTTTGCGTTGGTGTTCTCATCATTATCGCATCGTGCTGGTGCCAGCATTCACAACACTTGGCGTGTTTTTGGTGCATCGTCTTTTAGAGGAGTTATAGTGGTGCGATACTATGTATCGTGGTAAGGATACATGATCCATGCCAGCCTCTCCAAATTTGTCCACATAAAGGGATCTATCCCACAGAAAAAGGCAGTACAATACAGAGAACGTCGAAACGACCGAACACTTCTTGCGCACACGGCCTAGTATGGGCATGTCATGCGCGCGTAAGGTACATTCGCATGACATGCTGATGCGTCCGCATTATGTGATCCTCCAGCTCCTAGTTGCACAGATACCGAATAGGGCAGGGAAGGAATTTGGCTTGCGAAGTATACATCGAGTGAGCGGCGAAGGTTTCAAGCTCACCTCCACACATCATGCTTTTGCAGCTTGTAATGAACCAAGTAAAAAATTCTAGCGATACAAAGCTCTTCATTGGGCACACAACAACTTCATCTGTCTAAGCAAAATTTTTTATGTGACCTAGAGAAGCGCCATTTAATAATTAAATGACAAATAAAACAAGAACCAAATGAATATCATTCTTTATCGATACTTCCCCTGATGACTCTCCACGGTTTCGCATTTCTTTTTTATCGTTCTGTCGCTGCACAGAAGCACCTCCTGCTCTCTATGCAAGCGAGCAGATGCCAGGAGATGCCGAGCATATGATGCAATGTGGATGAATGCATGTATAGAGGCTAATCGACCTTCCTATTGGCTAAAAGGCCTTGTAGGCTTGACAGGGCTGAAGGTAACTTAATTATGAATGGTGTATAGATTGCGTCCATAGTGTTACGAAAGCTCAATTTAGCCGGTAACATTAATACCGGACTCCAGCGGTACTTGAAAGAAAAATCGGAGGGTAAATAGCGTTTATGTAGGCACCGATTTTGAATAGAGGCATTTATAGGCACTCAAAGGAATTTAAACACCAGTGTCCAAAATAGACATTTATAGGCAATATAAAAACACTATAAAAGCTTTCCTTACCCTATAATTAGCACTCATAGGACAAAATAACAGAATAGGAACGCAAGAAACAAAATAGGCACTTGCCTATAATCTGACTTCTAGTGACGAGGTACGCCAAACTACGCACTAAAAACTAAATCGTCTAACTCGGCCACCTAAACTCATTTCAGCAACATATTTCGTCATCTCAATGTCTTGTCATGCTTTTGACTTGGTGATGTTGGCATGGCTGCTAATTTTTCAAGTTTATTGTCGTTACACCATGCTCGACTTAAGTGGCGTGTCTCCCGTTGTGATTTTCATTGGCCCTGTTAGGCTCATGAACATGCACACTAGAAGTGCCATAGTTGGAAGATCCTTGCTTACACTTGGTGTGTTTTAGTCTGTGGTGTACACGTATCCCGAAGGAGTACGGCCACCAGCGTGGGTCCGGTCTTAGCGAGCCGCAGGGCACGCGTTAACCGTCGCCGTGGCGAGAACACGATACTGCTCAAGTCGCAACACTTTATTGTGGCAACACCAAACGCAGTACAGCCCGTTGCAAAAAAGGCGCGGCGGGAAAGCAAGTAGGCTTATCCACGCCACGGGCACAAAGTACTACACAGGGTGCCACGAGCACGTCTCCGCGGTAAAGGTGATCCACGGAGACACCGGAACAAAGGCCCGGTTGCTCGAGCGAGGGCAAAGGCGCTCGCTTTGGCTTCGGAGGGAGACGGGTCGGCGTAGCTAGGCCACGCACTAGGACACCGTACCACCCCTCGGCCGTCGTACGCAGCGGGGCAACAAAAGGTGAGGGTTCGCTTAGGGCGCGAGGCGCCGTCAGCGAAGTCCGACGAGCCCCCGAGCGACGGGAGTCGACGGACGGAAAAGATTGCGTGGCTCACCGTTTGCTTTCCCGGAGAGTACTGACCACTCCCGACGCAGCGCGCGAAAACCTCTCGGGAGTCCCCGCGCGCGGCGCCACAGTCAACATCCGCTTCCGGGTGAGGGAGTTAAACGTCACTCTGCTCTCTCAGCGCGGCAGACAGCAAAGGAGGGCAGACATGTCGGGACATGAGAATGGCAGAAAAGGCGGCAAAGCCCGCGCAAAGGCAGCGGGCCAGCCTCAATTCCCACAAGTCTTGGTAACACATTGTGCTACATTAAGCAGATGTCTGTAGATAAAGGTAACATGACCAACCAATAGCATACAGAGGCGTTTAATGCTGCAACGACGGACAGTCGCCCAGCTTGAAAAAAAGTAATAGAAGGAGTGCGCGTCAGACCACTGAATAAAAGACTGTTATAGTCTGCACAGGTCAGCAACATGCCCCAAAGGAACTTTCGCTGTATGTGAAGAAAATATCACACGCACTAATTTGTGAAGGTGTGGTATGGCAAATACTTATTTTTTTTGCAATAATATTTTTTTATTAGTGCTTTCAACTGTCATGATTCGCGACACTTTTTTTTTCTCCAGGTAACTGGCCAAATCACCTACAAGTGAACAAGGCTTGCTCCATCGACTTCAGTCTCAACGCCCCTCCACCTACAATCCCAAGCTGAAATCCTGACACTGCTGTCAATGTCTGAAGCTCACGTTTTTTCTTAATTTCACAAACTATGGTGAACACATAGCCAGAATTGAATTTCACACATGTGTACTGAATTCCTGAATTTCAGTGGACTGAATTGAAAAGTACATGTGCATGTCACTGTGTAATTGTAACGACGGGGCATTTCAGGGCATACTTTTACAGTTGTTTACACAGTTAGACCAGTTGTTGCATGAAAGAATAATTAAATTATGCTTTAAGACGACAGGCAAACCTTTGACAGGGTGCCCTGTTATGTTATGTGTGTGGTGATATATTTACTACCCTTAATTGAAGCCAAGCCATTGCAATTTTATATTGTTATGGGGATTTATGCAGGGAATGGGTTGAGCAGATCAACACCTACACAGAAAGGTGGCTCCGATGGGTACATCCCGCAGTTCAATGCGGTCAGCAGAAGCAGGGAGAGTAGGAAATTTTTTCTCGTTTCCAAAAGCTATAGCAGCAGTGAAATGGAAGACATTACCCGGACAGAAGAAGGCCTACTAAATCAATTACGCTTCGATGACACGAAGCGTGAGTGGATGACACGAAGCATGACATGAAGGGTGAAGGCCACGGCTGTCAGTACATGAAGCTGGACGAAAAAAGTATCTCGCAGAAGCACAGCTGGAAACGATAAACAGCTCGTCAGGGCCATCAGGACAATACACTGTGGTATAAAATGTACCTGTTGTGGAGCTTAAATAGTCCGCTTTGTTTCTTTCCCTCTCTCCCTCTCTGCCAGCTAGAGGTAAAATATTTAGAGAGATAATTTGATTTCAGAGACGGGGGAGGCCCCGCTTCCCCGATATTTCATTCATATTTAATATATATTTCCACTAGCATAACATCCGCAGGAGCGCAGCCAGAAATTTTTTTCGGGGGAGGCATCGCCTTGATTTTGGGAGGAGCACCCTATTGAAATGGTCTTTTTTCATTCTGAATGCCATGGGGAAAAAACATTTTGAGTGGGGGGTCACTGGCTTGTTTGCCCCCCCCCCCTCCTGGTTACATTCTTGAACATTCCCGCGTACAAGGACAAGCAAGTGGCATAAACGACGAACGAGGTCACGCTGTCGGTGGTCAGTCAGTGTGACATTATAGAAGAGGGTGGTGAATTTAGCGGGTGCACTTCATCGCCAAGGATAAGCAGTTCCTTCTAAAGCACTGTCTCTGCCACCAGTATCTTGTTGATCGCAGTGCCTAGAACACTACCCCACACCTCCACCAGAAATGTCATGTCATATAGTGAAAATATTGCACAGAAAACACTCTCTCGTGGTGTGCTAGAACTATCGCTATGCTAGTTAGAACTAGCAGTAGGCCATGACGTCCAAGACAACAGGTGTACCACCTGACGTCATGGTACTTGCCATTTATTTCCCACCAAGTTTAGAACCCTTTCAGGCAACTCTAGACGGGCCACCAAAATGTGTCCTCTATACAGTATACAAGTGGCTATGCTTGCAGTATATATACTTTGCACTGTCACAGGAAAAAAAAAAGTATTATAGCAGTTTTTTCACCTGTGCATATTGCAGTAATTCACCACCACACCTCTCAAGCTTCCACACAAATGTAATTTATTCACATCATCCTAAACATAAAGCGACCCCTTATTGGAGTCGCAGTCACCTTTGAAAACTGTACACAGTGCATGCTTTTGTTGATAGATAAGTGCGATCAATGTATACTTAGGTTTTTTACTGTACCTGTTACCTCCACACTCAAAGGAGCACATAACAAACCAAATAAAGAACATGAGCTGAACACTTTCAACACTTGTAGGCAAAGATAAGGTGCATAGTGGCAGACAGCCGGGCTGTTTGTAATATCACCACATTTGCAGCACTTGAAAAGGAAAATAGGAAAACAGCAGCTACAGAATACAGATATAGAGAGCAAGTAGGACACAAGTTCTTCTGTTTTGTTTTGTTATTTAAAAAAATTATTTCTATATGCGAGGTGGAAATGTGTGACATACATACATAAAATTGCATAAATAAGTCAAGCTCTCTACACTCATTGCATTCATGGCATCAGCAAGTGCATTTCCTGTGTATATGGGAATAAAATGAGACATTCAGATAATAAATATGAGGTATGGTAATCACCTGCTTTCAAAAACACTCAAAAAGTCCCACATTCATGTTGATTGCTTTTGTTTGTTTGTTTTTGCAATGTGAACAATGAGCAGCATATTTACAATATTCAAAGTAAAGCAATAAAACTACTAGGTTCTTTTTTAAACAAACAGGGCTACAGGTAAAGATAATGGCTTGAATAGATGAAATAGTCGAGAGATGTAAGAACAGAGGCTATAAATACAGGCTGCCTTTCGACTAGTGGACTTGTCTTTGTCAAGATACCAAGTGCCTTTCTCAGCAGTCTATTATACATGTACACTTCGCTCACTGTCCCGTGGTCGCTCAAGTCGCTTGTACCACCACAACTAAGGCAGTCACGAGATTTCAAAGCATAAATGTAGTCTCTTTTCGTTTTCAAAAGTAACTAAGAAACTAGTGAAAAATAGAAGAAAAACATGTGACAACGTCAGCTTCCCGCACCACTGTGTAGCTTGAACTCTCACAGCGATTTGTTTAGAGAAGCCACAGTTCATAGCAATGTCATTCGTGCGGCGCATAATGTGCTCATCACAAGACAAGTCTTTTCCTGCGCACGGCACGTCCACAGACAACAGTGTCTGCATCCTCGAGGTAGGGATATTCCGACGTTCCGTCTTGCGCCTCGTCATCGTCCACGATATCTCCCACTTTCAGGTATGAGGCAATGCGGTTCAATATTTCAAAATTGAAGCGATCAAACTGAACTTGACGCGGCGTTGGTGGTATGAGGCACGTAATCCTGTTCTTAACTATCCCTGTCAGCTGCCAGAACTGTAAATAAATCATGGTTAGACAAATCAACATTGCATCATTTTACTCAAGCTGGACTGCAGCTACGCAGTACTTAAAACAAGTAAATATATTGCACTATATTTGCCTCATTCTAAGCAACCCCCCCCCCCAAGAAGTATGACGAGCCAGCATGTTTCACATATTCAAAGTGCTAAAATAAAAGTTCACAATGCAATGCGTACCCAGTTTATAAAAGAACAGTGGTGTGTCACCTATGTAAATAATCAAAGAAATTGGCAACAAGCTCAACGGCTAATTATTGGGAGCTTCTGGCCCCAGCAGCATGCAAAATTGGCAGGAGCTTTGCATTTGTGCAGCCCCTTCCATGTACAGTCCTGGATATTTCTAGTAAGAAAGAGTTGCAATTAACTAAAACACATTCTGTCCTAGTTCTTTCCCTCAATATGTGTTATGCCAGAATGATTCTGGCTTGCAAGATTAAGTCTACACCACTTTTGGCAAACACATCAAACTGGTCCCAAATGTCCAATGCACACGTGGGAAAACGAACAGCCCAGTACTTCTTTTCTTTTATTTTCATTAAATTTACTCTTTCTTCCTCAAATGCATGAAGCTTTTTTTCTTTTGAAGTATTCTGTGGCCCACTCTCTACCTGGCTTTAATACATCAAACAGAGGAGCTACACGTACTTGGCTGAAATGGCTTAGTAGTTAAGGGCAAAACAGCAGCACTGAACACATAAGTTATATTTAGGGAACTGATAATACGGACATATTTACAGTATACAACAATGTACGTTATAAAGCTAGTGTATTTAAGAACATCTCATGTTTCCGACACCAAAACCTCATGACGTCGCACTTTTTCTACATAGCTTGTTCATGGCTGCAGGTAAAAAATGGCAATAGTCAATATAACCACTGTGAGATGATTATTTTCCAGCTTCAAACAAGCACTGTTACGCATAAATCAGCTTAGTTGCAGCTGTTGCTACCAAGCAGATTCCCAAAAGTCAACTTTGTCAAAATGCCATAAAGTGTTACATGGTCAAGCATACACAACATTTTGCAGTGAAGTGGGCCAGATAAGCAAGGGCACCAGTCCCAGGCAATACTAATTTGTTCATTCATACACACACGGACCTGCTGTAGCCTGTCAAAACTAGTACAAGCACTGAGATGCCCTAAAAACTGGTGGCAGTCCATTAGGGTTATTTTGTAAATGGCTACAGCGCTTCAAGCTCCAGGGCGCAATAAAGAAAGGCATGCATGCAGTTTTTTGGACTACCTTACTCTTGGAACAATTTTGCACTGCCTAGGTTGTCTAAAAAAATTGGACGCTGCATTAGGTAACTAGGCTGTATTATATAATTTACCGATGAACAAAACAAGCCAGTAGCCTGCTCTTGGTCACATAATACAGCAGCCGCACATCAATTAAGGAAGAACCTATAATCACTTGGTAGTGATGGAGAAGAAGACGGCAGTCATACCAGCAGAAGTCTAATTGTTTATTATGTGAACCTGTGCCCAGAAAGCTCTGTTTCTTGAAGTACAAGCAATGCATGGTGTACACTGATAGCAACAGTCCCAGTCATCGGTTGTCGATTATCTGATCATCAGTGGAATGTATCATCATTATAGATTAGTGATCAAACCTTCCAGCATTATCACTGATGCTCACGCAAGCTGCCTAATAAACTTTACAAATTGTAGTTCTGTCCTGCCCGTTGTCGTAACAAAACAATGTGGAACAATCACAAAGTATTTCAAACATTGTTGTGCAGCCTGTGCTAACAGTTCTTGTAGATGAAACCTGATCCCACCCCAATAACAAAATGAGCGTACATTGCACTGGCGCTAGAAACCAATGCCACTGCCCCTCATGCGGTGCCAGTTGTGCTCTTCTGGAAAAGTGCTGCGAGCGAAGGCAGCGTCAGTACTGGCATGTGAAGCAAATGACATGGAGAAGATTCTGCTACTTTTGGCATAGCATTCGTAATGTAGCGGCAGTGTTTTGTATTGAACAATTCAAAGCTGTACACCATTGCGCTAGTAGCCAAAGGCAAAGAGAAGGGGTAGCAAAAGTGTTTCTTGAACAATGCACAAAGTGTTCAAATTTTGGACAGGCGTTCCAATAGCGGGGCTTGCCGTTGGGCCTGTGGGAGACTCCCGCGTAGTCATTTGTGGTCGTGACAGCATTTTAATTGACAACAAGTCATCTAGAAAGAATGCCATGTGTCCCTCTCACGTCTTCACACTGAAGAGCGCCATCACAACATCAAACAACCCAGCTTCTTTGCGTGGTGCTGTGCTTAAAGGGCCCACACACCAGGCCCCATACCGAATTTTAGTTAGACAGGGAAAGTTGTTGGCTGTCTGATGAGGAACGTTTTTCCACAAACATTTTTTGAATCAGTTCATCACAAGCGGAGAAAACAGGTTTTTTGAAGCGGCACGAAACGAGGATGAGATGATGATGATGATGATATATGGTGTTTTTTGGCGCAAGGGCCATTTGTTGGCCAAAGAGCGCCATTTCATCTTACTAAAAATATGGACAATGATTGTGATAAGCGGCTGTATAAGGGCCATAAAATTCCTCGCGATAAGGCGGGTAAGAACATACAAGTAATAAAATGATGACCATGCCGTGAAAGATGTGTGTGGTGTGAATGATGACAAAAGTTGGTGATAATAAGACGATGGTGGATATGTATGGCATTAGCACAAGTGCCTCACTCGTTCATACCCTTGCGTCCAAGGGCCGTGAGGCATGTGCTTTCCTGTGTAGCCACCGCAGCAAAAACCTCTCAAGAGAGGTCGTGCTACGGTATGCCCGGGTATATGATCTGAAAATTATGAATTTCCTTTAAAAACGCTAATAGTGATTTGTGACTAAAAAGCGGTTCCCTACCGACGAACATTGCAGGGTGTAAAGGTATATGTTGTCGGTAGGATAGTGGGAAGTGGTGTCTTCTTAGACTGTCTAAATGTTTACATTGAATTAAAACGTGAAGAACTGATAATGTCTCACCACATTTATCACACAATGGTGGATCACCACCGGATAAAAGATGTGTGTGTGTCGTGTATGTGTGTCCTATCCTGAGTCTTGTTAGTGTTACCTCTGTTAGACGTGATTTTGATACTGGTGGCCAATGGCCAAGGTGTGGCTTGATAACGTGTAGTTTGTTTTGTGTGTGTGTATCCCACTTGCTCTGCCAGTAGTCCCTGAGGTTTCGTTTGAGAGACGGCTTAAGATCAAGGGCCGGGATTGATATAGATGTAATGGCGGTGCTCTCATGGACGGATGCAGCGAGCTGATCCGCCCTAACGTTGCCTTGGATCTCACGGTGCCCTGGCACCCAGCACACTACAACATGTTGTTTGTGTGTGTAGAGTGTGCACAAAATGGAGTAAAGTGAGACAAGGACTGGATTTTTTTGTTTTTTAAGACTGTGCAGAGCCGTTACCACACTGAGGGAGTCTGTATAAATTACTGCTTTTTGTATTTGTAAGTGTTTGATGTGTTTAGCTGCCACCAGTATCGCGTAAGCTTCCGCTGTGAAGATACTTGTGCGTGGATGTACAGGGCCAGCATCCGAAAAGGATGGGCCGACAGCAGCGTAGGACACAGAGGAGTTAGTCTTGGAGGCATCTGTGAAGAACTCAGGACGTGTGTATTTGTGTTGAAGTTCCAGAAAGTGTGTTCGGATATGGGCAATAGGTGCATGTTTTGTAACCTCTAGGAAAGACACATCGCAGTCTATAGTCTGCCACTGCCACGGTGGCGGGTATGCTACAGGAGCCATTAAACTGTGTTCGAGTGACACTCCAGTGTCCTCAGCTAGACCCTTCAGGCGAACTGAGAAGGGCTGCCTCATTGAAGGCCTATTTTGAAAAAGAATGGAGCTCGCCAAGTCATTAATAGTAGAGTATGAGGGGTGCCTCTTGTCTGCTTTCACCTTAAGGAAATATACAAAGGACATGTAGGTTCTTTGCAGATGAAGCGATCACTCATTTGACTCAACGTAAAGGCTTTCTACGGGGCTGGTGCGAAAAGCACCCGTAGAAAGGCGGATGCCCAAATGGTGCACGGGGTCCAGCATTTTCAAGGCACTTTGTGTGGCAGACTGATAGACAACGGCCCCATAATCTAAGCGGGTACGAATAAGGCTTCTATAGAGGTTCATGAGGCATTGCCTATCACTACCCCACGTAGTACGTGACAACACTTTTATAACATTCATGGCTTTTAAACATTTTGTTTTTAAATACTTTATGTGTGGTATGAAGGTCAACTTGTTGTCCAAGATTAAGCCTAGGAATTTATGCTCCGCATTCACAGACAGACGTTGGCCGTTCAGTTCAATGTCGGGTTCTGAGTGCATGCCTCTCTTTCGAGAGAACAAGACACACGTGCTTTTTCCTGGGTTCAGCCGGAATCCGTTTTCCTCTGCCCATTTGGAGACCTTATTTAAACCTAACTGAACCTGTCGCTCACACATTGCTAGGTTGCATGACTTAAAGCCAAGCTGAACGTCATCGACATATGTGGAATAGAACATGTTGCGGGGGATGGACAGGTGCAAGGAATTCATTTTTATAATAAAAAGTGTACAACTAAGTACACCACCTTGCGGTACTCCCGTTTCTTGCACAAATATTTGGGAGAGAGTACTGCCCACACGGACGCGGAATTTCCGATTGGACAAGTAACTCTCGATTATGGAAAGCATTCTACCGCGCACACCCAGGTGAGACAAGTCTCTTAATATCCCAAAACGCCATGTTGTGTCGTAAGCCTTCTCGATATCGAGAAACACTGAGAGGAAGTATTGTTTGTGGACAAAAGCGTCTCGGATCTGTGCCTCGATACGCACCAGATGGTCGGTGGTTGATCTACCCTCCCGAAACCCACACTGAAATCGGTCGAGCAGATTGTGTGTTTCAAGGAAATGTAAAAGTCGGCGGTTTATCATTTTTTCAAAAAGTTTACAAAGGCAGCTGGTTAGT